AAAAGGGACGCTGTGGGTTTCAGGGTGAAGATCTTCTCTCACTACTCTAAAGGGCCCCTTTGGCAGTAGGAAACACATAGACTATTATGGAGATAAAAAAATCAATATTTTTAAAAGCCTATAAATGCACAGAGGAGAAAGTGTAAGAAAAATCTAACAAAATATTAAGAGTACTTCTTACTTGCTATTGAGATTTTGGGTCACACTTTTTTTACATTTTTTTCAAGATTTTTAACAAAAATATATTGTATAATCAGAAGAAAAAAATATCTTTTTTGTTATTGTTGTCTTCTAAAACTGGGACTACATTCCCATCGACATTGCCAAGAACAAGTTTCTTTTTTGCGCTAGGAAACCAGAAAATTCTTTCACTTCTCCTATTCAGCTGAGAAAATTTAGTACCTCATAAAAGTAATCCAGATTTTTGTGTAGAAGAAAATAGATTATCGGATATTCCTTGCTTGTAGAAAGTAGTTGAGATTTCAGCTGTCAATATAAAAGAGCTACTTCTAAGAATATTATCATGATGTTATAGCTTCCCTGGGGCCTTGAGTGACTAAAAAAATAAATGCAATTCACACCCCATACATAGCACATGCCTACAGAGCACAGCGATCTGACCAGCATGAATCACTGGAGCCCTTCCCCCCACTCCCAGGGTACAAACAACACCCAGAATAGTTTCCTGATGACACAGCAGCCAGAAGCTTCTGAAACCCTTAATCTTTGGGAGGAAATGAGAGGGAATAACAAGTCCTTGACACAGACTTTTAATTTTTGGACCTAAACAAAGCACAAGAGAACAGCAGTGAGTACGCCTGGATCTTCTGCATTTGATTCTTCCTGTTACAACCTACAGCTGCTTTGTGCTGTGGGCATCCAGCAGATGTGGCTGCTTTGCTCTGTTTACACGTATTACCATTACTGCTATATTTTCAGTGTAATGACGGGGTGCTTTATCATTCAAGTATTTCACTTTCAAAAACTGTACTAAGATCTGTTACTCTGTGCCTGCCAGGCAAGTTTTATTTGTGCATCTCAATGGCTTTACTATTTCATCATGGGACAGTTCCTTTATAGTACCAGAGAGTGAAAATGACTTCTCTCATATGATTAAGTGACTATTCTAAATGATAATATAAAATCAGTAGTAGAGCCACTTTTACTATTAAGACCTGAGAGTCAGGGCTTCACCCATTAAATGGCAGCACCACTAATCCAGTCAGTAGCTGTTTTGGTCATCGGCCCGGGAAACTTATATTGAGCTTTTGTAAAACAAATTGGCATGATTCCCAAGTTTCTGGCCTGGAGACTCAGGAGTTGGCAATGCTATAAGTCAGTATAGGAAATAGCAAGAGGAAGGAAAGTCTCATGAGAGAAAACAATTTCATTTTGGTTATGTCGCTTGGCCTATATGTAGGACAGTCAACCCGAGGATAATGCAGAGCAGGCTGCCAGTCTTGGGGATAGGCAGAAATGTGTGAGCTGGGCAATGGGGAGTCCCTGGTGTATGGGAGACAGTTAAATACACACACAGGTGAATTATACTTAAGGAAAACGAAGAGAGTGAAAAAAGGACATAGGACCCTCCCTCCAAAAAAAAACTCCAATAAGTTGCCATCAAGTCAATTTCAACTTACGGTGACCCTGCAAGGCAAGTGCATAACTGCACCACGGAGTTTCTGCAATCTTTACAGAAGCAGGCAGCCATAGATTTCACCATGGAACAACTATGAGTTTGAACCGCCAGCCTTTTCAGCAGCTGTCATTTAACCACTGTGCCAACAGGATTCCTCCCTGTCAGATTAAAAAAATCCAAGAGATTCCAGGCACAGAAGGTGAGGAGTGGTCCTTGAGATGGGAGAAAGCCTCAATGACACCAGAAGCAAAAAATTCAGACAAGTATATGACAGTGGTCAACAATAATAAATATGGACAAAGTTCAAAGGGAAAAAGTCTACTGGCTGTGATTTTACTTAAACTGCAGCAGGAAGATCATCAGTGAGAATGGTAGAAATCAAAACAAAGTAAGTTAATTTCTTTGTTTTGTAAATTCTAATGGTCATAATTATGTTGTTTATAGATTACATCAAATAAGAAACTTAAAAAAAAAAAGGTAAAGATTGTATTGCCCACCCAAAAGCTGACAGTCTGAATCTACCAGCTGCTCAACAGCAGAAAGGTGGGCAAATCACAGCCGCAGAAAACCCACTCTGAGGGTAAGCAGTAAGTCGATTCTGACTCAGTGGTGGTGGATCACAGTAGCCACTTTCTGTGCGCTATCAACTGGTATTTCCAATAGCTGCACACTATTCCTGAAAGCTGGACAAAGACTAAGGAAGATCAAAGAAGGAAATGCTTTTAAATGATGGTGCTGCTAAAGGATACTGAATTCACTATGGACTGCCAAAAGAACAAAGTCCTGGAAGAAGGGCAGCTTAGAAGTGAGGACCCTGCTCCTTAGAAGTGAGGACACGGAGACTTCTCGTCACTTAGAAGGGCTATGTCAGCAGGAAAGTCCAGTTCCCAGTGGGCCACTGAAAAACAGGAAGGCCAGTGACGTGGACGGACATGGTAACTGCACCAAAGTGCTCAGGCCCAGCAGGGATGTGAGGATGGCACAAGATTAGGGTTCATTATTTTTTTAAGTTTTCACTTTTTTATTATTATTTTTATTATTATTAATTTTAATGAAAATTTAGAAAGACTTTAGATTTCCATTCACTCATTGTTGCACTTTTCTCCCTGCCCCCCCAGTTCACTCTTTTCTTTGAAAAGTAAAAGAAAATGTCTTTCATTGTTATGCAATCCCTCCCCCCTAGGCTACGTTTTGTTCTGTTGTCCACAGGGTTTCTGTGTTGAAGCTGATTTCACGGTACCTAATAGCAACATTACTGATTTGAAGATAGTGGCAACACAAATCTAAATTTAAGGACTAAAATTAAAATGCTAATTCAAAGAGAATCAGGAACAGAACTCATGATTTGTGTTAGGAAGAAATATTTATTCCAATGATCCTCAAAACTGAAGAAATAATTCTCACTGCATCACAATGGCTTCCAGGCTAAAGAATTTTCTCAAAGGAAAGTACATTTAATGAAACTGAGTACATAGAGTCTCACCTTCCTATTTTGCAGAAATAATTCCTAGATGAACATCAGACATCAATTCACATTTTTACCTCAGCTCTTTTACTTCATTTAGTCTATATATTTCTGAAATAGCATGGTTTAAAATAAAAAAATAAGATTCAGAAGAAAGGGATTTCTGACTGTAGTAAGTTAACAAATGTTTCCTTAAAATGTCCCCATCCTAATCCACAGAACCTATAAATATTAGCTTACATGGCAAAAGAAACTTTACAATGTGATTAAAGATCTTAAAATTGGGAAGATTATACTGGATTATCCAGGTAGACTCAATGAAATTATACAGTTCTTTATAAAAGGGAGGAAGAAAATCAGAGGGACAGAAGGCCGCAGACTTTGAAGATATAAGGTCACAAGTCATGGAATTCAAGGAATATATTCTAGAAGCTAAAGTCAGCAAGGAAGCAGATTTTCCCCTAGCATCTCCTCGGAAAGGCAGCCCTGTCAACCCTTAGTTTTGGCCTAGTAAAACCCATATCAGACATCTGACATCTAAAACTAATATGATAATATTAGTTATACTATAAATAATAAATTTTAATTTTAAGCAATGAAGTTTATGGTCATTTGCTCCAGTAGAAACAGGAAATTAATAAATTGACTAAGCATCTTGTGGCTGATTTGACATCCTACCTAGCCATTAATTCAGGCCATTAACATCTACAGTATATCAAGGATTTAGCAAAATGCTCTGGATTAAAAGGAAAAAAAAATAGACTAAGACATTGGTCTACCCATAAGGGATGACAGTCTAGTAGACTTCCTCTTTCTGTTAACCAACTTAATGCAGTTATTTTTTTCTAACATGTGATTCAACCAATTTGTAAAAAAACACCAAACAACCAACCAACAAAAGCAGAATTCTGAATACCTGGTCATGGATGAGTCCATGATAGAGGATGCTCTGCATGTCCCTGCAAAGCCGTTCCAGGCCACCATACTTGGACCAGACGTTGGGGCTATTGGTTGACACCAAACCTTCAACTGTAGACTTCAAATTACCCAGTAACTGCCAGTGTTCTCGCCTGTAAGGTATCAATTATATCAATAGTTAGTTAACTTTGTTGTAGCTGATTCTGGGCATATGAAAACCAAGCCTAAACCAAGAAGCTCCCTATCCCACGTTTTAAGATTCCAGCTTCTGTTAATTCAACACTAAAAGGCCTAAATCTCAACTCTGAGAGAACTGTTATTGATATTACGTGCTGTCAAGTCAAAAGTGACTTATAGCAAATTCAGAACCTCTGAGTTTTACAGAGGCTGTAAATTATATGGGAGGAGACTGTCCATCTTCCTCCTGAGGAGCAGCTGGTGAATTTGAACTGCCTGCCTTTGGGCTGATAGTGGAATTCTCTATCCACTAGGCCACCAGAGCTTGCCACTGAGAACGATTGCTATTGCTGTATACTGTCGAATTAAAACCTACCCATAGCTAGCCCTTCAGAGGGTTTTCAAAAGCTGTAAATAGCATGGGAAAGAGTTCCCATCTTCTCCCACAAAGTAGCTGGTGGATTCGAACAACATACCTTTGCCTTGGTAACACAATTCCTTACCACTGAGCCACCAGAGGATTAGATCAGCAAACAAGCACTAATTTGTAAGAGATTGAGATTTGCATAGCACTTTATGCTTTGTAGAGTGATATTCTTCTACACTATCATTAAATTCCTGAAAAATAGTCTACAGCCCTGTGCCAAAGGGACTTGGCGGTGCAATGATTAAATGTTTAGCTGCTGGTAGTCTGAACCCATACAGAGGCACCAAACCTAGTCATCTGGTGCCATAATGATTAAGACAAAAAAACAACCCTAACAGGCAGTTCCACTCTGTTGCATTCCATTTCTGGACAATCAGAATACATGGTTGATGAGACAGAACCAGAAAGGTTTTGCCCAACTAATAAACAAAAAAGGTAAAAACCTACTTTTTATTCACTTACAGGCACATCTTGCTGATATATCTTCTGCTTATTTCTAGGCAGGTCAATAAAGCAAATATCCTAATCAACCGAATCACACACATTTGTTTCCCAGTGTACAGAAAAGTATAGTTTGCACCACAAGAAGATAAAGTTAAGCAACCTAGTTGAAATATGGGCACAGGATATGAACAGACACTTCACCAACCAAGACATTCAGATGGCCAACAAGAACATGAGAAATGTTCAAAATCCCTAGCTCTAAGAGAGATGCAAATCAAAACAACTATAAGATATCATCTCACCCCAGTCAGAATAGCAAAATTTAACAGAACAGCAAACAACAAATGCTGGTGAAGTTGTGGAGAAACTGGAACCCTTATTCACTGTTGGTGGGAGTGTAAAATGATGCAACCACTATGGAAGGCAGTAAGGTACTTTCTCAAAAAGTTACAAAAAGAAATATCATTAGACCCAGCAATTCCACTACTGGGAATATACCCTAAAAAAACTAAAACTGCCATGCAAGCAGATATATGAACACCCATGTTTACTGTGGCTTTGTTCACAATAGCAAAAAGTTGGAAACAACGCAAGTGCCCATCAAAAAACAAATGGACTGAGAAGCTCTGGTATATTCACACAATAGATTACTATGCTGCATTGAAAAACAAGGAACTCATAAAATATTATACAAAATGGGTGACCCTGGAGGACATTATGCTGAGTGAAATACCACAGTTACTAAAGGACAAATTCTGCATAGTGCCACTGTTGTAAAGTGGGACTGACATCTGGGTTGGGGGGAAACTATGAGGAGATAAATAATATATACTGCATTGAAACAGACAAGGGAGAGAACAGTTTAGGAAGAATATATGTATATGCCAGAATGACAATAAGTATTATTATCATGACAAAAGCCCAGAATGAAAGCTGCATAGTGGAGTGGACAGGGGGTGGGAGGATTGTATAACAATGAAAGATTTTTTTTTAACTTTTCAAAGAGAAAAGCAAACTGGGGAGGGAGGAAAGTGTGCAACAGTGAATGAAGGGAAACCCAAAGTCTCTGTAAATTTTCATTAAAATAAAAAAAAAGGAAAAATGTTTGGTTTACACTAGACTGCAGTCTATTAAGTGTGCAACATTATTATAAAAAAGTATGAAAAGCTGGTACGCAAGGTACGCCTGCATTTCCAAGCACTAAGTAAACAGTGAAACGAAGGCTAGAAAATGCTTTCTACACAGATCCCTATACAAATATTACGAAGAATACAAATTATTCATGCTTTCTTTTCCTTCCCTACCTGATTTTTCTGAGCTAAAATTAACTGTTTGTTTGTATAAATTTATACTGAGCCACTCTAAAACATGCTCCCAAATGAGTCAATTATTGGCGTATGCTCCTAGACCACTTAAAACACTGTAGGGGGAAAGTCTGAAATTTGTTGCTCTAGGTGCTCTTCAAAGTTCCTTCAGAATATCCAGACTGACAAAATCACAAAACCAACTATAGCAAATGAAAAGAGCTGGGTATTTAAGAAAAACATTGAAGAGGTGAGGTGTTAAACTCCTCAATGACCTTAATAACTAATTTGCACATTTTTTTTCTTGGTCTATCATTTATTCCTACTTCTTTCCTCTTTTCCAAGTGTGGTAGGGGGTTTAGTGTTCAAAATTACTTTCCTAGGCCATTGATTTCCGCCATTTGATTGAGGATGAATATAAGCAAATATGGTGTGAAGACTACCATGATGGGAACTGTTAGTTTTGTCATCCTACTAGGTTTAAATTGAGCAGGTTTAGCTGAAGCAGATGAGAATCTCACTACTTGCAAGGGAGAAGAAGCAGAGTATACAGTGTGTATCCTCTGGGGCCAGAGATTCCTGCACACATCAGACCAGGATCCTCATGAGAGCAATAGTAGCAGCAATGAAGAACTAGTGACTGGCATGACTGAGAGCTGAATGAAGAACGCTGCCCCAAGGAGCAAGAGCCAGGGGTCCTCACCCAAGCTTACTAGAGGACCAGGAGGAGACGTCACACTTGGCAGGACTAAGAGTTCTATAACACTGGCATAAAGACGCAAGGCTGGTGGTTGAAGGGCCCACAAACACACTTGAGAAGCTTTCCTCATTGAAGAATTGCATCCTGTTTCCAACCTAACTAGTAACCTGTGAACTGGCTCACATGGAACCATATCAGGAAGTAGCATACAATCAAGAATAAATGGTAAAGAAGGAAGAGGTTCAGCTGCACTGAAGGCATTGGCAAAAAAAAAAAAAATAAGGAATCCAATTGACATTGTGACATTAGCCTGAAAGCTGGCCTTTCTTTATCCATTAGCTGCTTGTGGTCTTCAGCTACCTTAACTACAGGCACAGGGTCTTGCAAATCGGCATCAGCTGTGGGACTGGGATAAGTGAAGGAGTGCTTCCCACACAGAGCAGCAAGACTTCAGGCAAGAAAGACTTGAAGCAAGACTTTAGGTGAGCAAGGCTTGGGGTGGCAAGACCCTGGTGAGAATGAGACCCTGTTGGTGGAGAGATTGTGGCATTGCTATGGACAAACAGTGGCAAGGTGTGACCTGAGGAATCTTGCATTTCTAGTGGCCATAGCTGGATTTTGCTGTTCTTGCCCTTGATAATGGAAAGAAAACCTGCTTGCTGAATTGAAACAGGAGCCTGGATTGTGTTGTACCTTGGACTGCTGAGATAAAACCTGAACTTACTTTGGGTGATATTGTGATATTCTTTGCCTCCTCCACTCTCCAACTTACTTCCCTAGTAAACCTATTGTTGGTACCATAACTGTGAGTCAGTAATGAATTAAAGAACTTCTTGCTATTTGGTGAGGCTCTACAGGTACCATAGGGCTGAGCTACAGGCTCCTGATCTGCTATATGCTCTAGGGCAGTGAGGGGCTGTGAAATTTTTACTCTCTTTAGCCCTTTCAGAGGTATGCTTCTGGTCCTGTGCCCCTATGTCCTGTTTTTCCTCTTTTTTAGACAGACATGTTTCAATAAACAGATAGAGCCCTATTTGTGCTCACCAGGCTATGCCAGGAAATTTGGAAGACAGCTATCCGACCAACTGCCTGGAAGAGATCCCTATTTTTTCTCATTTCAAAAAAAGAAGGTGGTCCAAGAGCCTACTGAGATTCTCTAATAACATCACTAATCTCACATGCAAGCAAAATATTGCTGAAGATTATCCCAGAACAGAAAGAACAGTGTATTTACTAAGAACTTCCAGATGGGTTTAGAAAAGGAATTGGCACCAGAGAGAATACTGATGATGTCAAATGTCTATTTGAGTTTTATTGACTATGCAAAGTCATTTAATTATATAGATCATAACAAATTAAGGCTAACATTAAGAATGGGAATCCCATAGTGTTGTGACCTGTTTTAAAAATAAAGTATCTTGACATAAAAAAAAAAAAAGAATGGGAATCCCAGGACACATAATTGTTCTCATGTGAAACCTACACCTGGACCGAAAAAGCTATTGTCTGAAAACAGCAAGGGACAGTGCATGCTTCAAAATTAAGAGAGATGAGCATCCTTTTTCCATACCTATTCAATCTCTATGTTGAGAAATCATTTGAGAAGCTGGACTTTATGAAGAAGAGTATGGCATCAGGATTGGAAGAAGATACATCAACCACCTACATGGTGGAGATGACACAACATTGCTTGCTAAAAGTGATGAAAGCTTCAAATGCTTGCTGCAGAAGATCAAAAACTACAGTCTTCAATGTGGAATACATCTCAACATCAAGAAAATAAAATTCCTCACCACTGGGCCAATAGACAACTTCATTATAAATGAAGATTGAAGTTTTCAACAATTTCATCTTACTTGGATCCACAATCAACATGCATGGTAGCAGCAGTCAGAAAATCAAATGCTATGTTGAATTTCAGAATTCTGCTGTCAAGAACCTCACCTCCAAAGCGCTAAAAAGTAATGTCAGGTTAAAGATAAAGGTGTGCACCTCATCCAAGCCAAGGTCTTTTTAAATATTTGCCATGCATCTGAAAGTTGGATTGTTGTTTGTTGTTATGTGCCATTGAGTAGCTTGTGACTCATAGCAACCCTATGT